AAATCCCAATGGGGCCGACAGGATTATCATTCAGAAGCCTAACATCTCAGTAAGAATGGAAAGAGAAAAAGGAAAGTTCCGAGGGAGATGCTCCACCCTACAATACACTCTTTGAGGTATCACTAATGATGGTCACTAAGGCCTATATAATTAATCCATGGTTCCCAAACAGCTTTGAAATGTTTGCGTTTGTCCCGTAAAATACTACTTACAGGGTTATTCACAAAAGGTTGAAGAGTTTGGAGAAGTGAACAATCTAGGACAACATAGCTGAACTGGAAAGTGAGCGGAGTTGGAGAATTTTTCCCGTTCAGCTATGTTGTCCTAGATTGTTCACTTCTCCTGCCTTCTCCAAACTCTTCACCCTTTTGTGAATAACCCTGTAAGTTTTTCTTGGGTCATTATACGGGAGACCTTAGATTTAAAGAAAGCAAAAGATACCTTGTGTGTCCCCCAGGACTTGGCTATAGAGATCTTTGCTGCTATAAAGAAAAACAATATCAATGTATCCAAGACCCTGGATACTGAGGGGACTGGATGAGTAAGCAAAGCAAAACCTGGGTCCCTTGGGACATGCACTTTGGTGACTTTATAGATCAGAGCAAAGATTCTATTCCAAAACAGACGTAATCTAAGGCAAAGCCACCAGGTGTGGTACATCGTGCCTTGGTTATCACAACCTCTAAAACATAATGGAGAGAATCCTGGATACATAATGGCCAGCCTGGAAGGGACAAGGTACCAACGCATGAAGACTTTGGCTATCACTAGAGAGGTCTTTGCAGGTGGAGTGTAAAGTGGCTATAAACCCTAACTGGATGACATTTCATGTGCTAACGCAGCGTGTACCATAAACACTTGCCACTTTATTCTTCAGAAAACATTGGTTTTCACTTTATTTTCATCCTGCAGCCTGTTTGCAGCCACTTTCTGCCTACATGATTGTACACCAGCATTGGCTCGGTGGCATTTTTAGGGCGATTTTCCTATTGTTGTCACAGCTGCTTTTAGTCTCCATCATTTAGCCTCCTGTATGACTGGGTGACATCACAGGAGAACAATGGGAAACTGAGCGTTGTCACCCTATAACAGGATTTGTGTTCGGAATCTCGAGGGCCCCGCATGTTGCCCCGCTTTGTACGTGATATACACCAAGGCCATGTTGACCTCCCTACCCCACACAACCTGAGGTGTGCCATGATTTTTATGGTCAGTACGCCAAATAAGGGGGCGTAGTCTAGTAAGCTTTGAGTAATACTAGTAATAATAATGGGGATGGGAGGGAGGGTACGCAGCAGAGGCGTCCACCTTCCTCTCCGTGTTTAAAGGCCCTGGAGGCTCCGACTCCTCCCACAAACTCGGCTAATGTTATTAGCCTCAAACATGTCTGATCAGGGACCTTCATGGAAGAGTCACCAGCTATTGATATAATGAAGACCATTGAAAATTACTTTTACAATTTAATTAACATGTTAAAGCTCCGGGCTATTCTCATCTGTTTGCTAAACAAATACCTTTACCGTTGTCACTGTCAGAGGCAGATGCAGTGAAATGGCATTTTTGACATAAAGGTGAAATCTAAGTTTTGGTAATAGATTACTTAGGCTGCACATTTTAGCAAAGGAAAGAATGTATTTGAAACAGCTAATGTAGTAGATTGTGACGGTACCCCTATGTCTACAGCAGGTTCCTGTAATCCGTCAACATTTTGTATGATGATGTTGCTGCTTTGTATATAGTCTCTCAGGATAGCTCCCGTCATAATACACCATGATGAAGGTCTATGCCAAGGGTGAGAAAACTCCGGCCTTCCAGCTGTGATGAAACTACAAATCCCATGACACATCTGTCTCTGGGAGTCATGTCTGTGGCTGTGAGGATCCTGAAATGCCTCATGGGATTTGTAGTTCCACAACAGATGGAGGACCGGAGTTTGCCCACTCTTGGTCTATGCTATTTGTATCACTTTTATGGTGTTATTTTTTGCACCAGAAGGACAATTGTGCTATAAAACCTCAGCGCCATAACAATCATAAGACTTGTCTGTATGTGGCCATACTAACACCCACCTGCCTCGCAGTTCTCTTCAGTAACACACATGAGTAGTAGTCCACACACCAATTTTGGACCCAGTTTTCCCAGTACGGTGTCCAGTATAATCACTGTGTACTTCTCAATCAAACACTGGCACACTCCAGCAATCTTTCCGGGAAGGGCTAGGCACAGAGCTGACGCACTCTTTGCAATGGCACTCTGTAAGCAAAATAAACAACCTTCATGCATACAATACTTTAAGTGAACCTGACACTAGTACAGGTTAGCATTAGAGGTGCACCGAAATAGAAATGTAAAAACCGAAACGAAACAGAAATTAAAAAAATTGTCAGGCCGAAACCGAAAATGTTTTTATTTTAATTTTCTAAAATTGTTTTAATATTTAATTTTTTTATAAACTTTTTACACATACCCTGTCCTCAATTATGTACAAACACTCAGCGATCACTGACTGTTTTTCTCACTCTCCTCTCTGACACGCTGTCACAGGAGGCTGAGCGAGCGGAGCAGGGAGGAGAGCTCAGCCTCCTGTGACAGCGTGGGCTATCTCCGCCCCCACACCGCTCTGCCGGACTGACTGAGCGGTGTGGGAGGAGAGACACCGGCCGCTCACAGTGCTCTCCTCCCGCAGCGCTCGGCCGGTTGTCACTTTCTCTCCTCCCCGCTGGGACACAGAGCAGCGCCCAGCGGGGAGGAAAGAAACCTGGGATGTGTCAATGTATCAGCACAAAAATGGCACTTGTACATGGACAGGTAGTGCAATATCATCACTTTCTTTAATGCCATGTATGTGGGGCTTGTAGAAGCCAAAATAAAGGCAGCACCTTAGGTGGGCCAGGCATTTTGTACGTGGGCCTTAAGTGAGTAATAGACTTTGCTATGTATTCAACCGTGAAGAAGTTTGATCATAATGAAATTACAAATTACAATGGTCCCGATGAGAACATCTGTATTGGGTGATCTCTGCCATGAAGCAGTAGAGCACAATGCCAGACTGGGGTGAGGTTTAGTCCACTTCCTAGGGGAGCCTTTCTCAACCAGGGTGCCTCAAAATTTTGGTCAGCACCATGGAAATGAATGATGCCGATCCAGGAAGGGTTGGAACCAATTCAAAAAAGGTCCCCTCCATCCAGGCCTGCTTCTCTTCTCACCTTCTGCCATGCTGCCACAGCAGTGGCTCCTGATATTGAATGGGGGGCTCTCATGTGTGATGGAGGGCTTCCTGATATGAAGAGGGCTGCTGATGTGAAGGGAGGTTTGCTGATGTAAAGAGGTGGGCTCTGGTGAGAAGGGAGGGTTCCTGAAGTAAAGGGGAGCTTCTGATGTGAATGGGGGGTGCTTATGTAAAGAGGGGGACTCTAGTGAGAATGGAGGGCTCCTGATGTGAAGGGGGTGCTCATGTAAAGAGCGGGGCTCTGTTCAGAAGGGAGGGCTCTTGATTTGAAAGGGGACTCTGATGTGATGAGAAAACCTCATATTTTTGTGTGTTTTTGTGTAGGGTCTCCGATGAAAATCCATACCAGACCCTATGTGTGATGAGGGTCTGCTATGGATTTTGGAGGGGCAACATGTTGTTTTTACATTCATGCTTTTTACAGTTTAAACGGGTGCTTCAAGATTTTGCAAAGATTTTTAGGGTGCCATGACTGAAAAAAGGTTGAGAATCGCTGGCCTGGGGTACAGCTCTTGCATCTTTCGCTGACTGCAATAATGATAATAATAGAGGTAATAACAATACTTAGAGATTTGCCTCCCTAGGTCTGGCACAGCAGAACACAGTATTTTGTGGAATACGTACCACCGGGATTGCTGCCTCAAATTTAGAAACAAACGATTTACACATCCAGCACATTGGCTTTGGGATCGGCCAGTCTTCCTTCATATTCTGTAACACAATGCAAAGTATTGAAATAGCATGCATGAGTACACTACTAATATTTATGTACCGATACTGTGAGGAAAATAATGAATGAATACCAAGAGATGTCCAAGTCACTGAATATCCTTTAAAGTACAGTTGAATGAATCATTAAGAAATGGATAGAGTGTGGTTCAGTGCTAAAGCTATCAAGACAAATCCATCCAACAAAACTGAGTGACCGTGCATAAAGAAGAAGAGTACTGAGGGTGACATATGTGGGTCCCATTGCACTCCTGACCAATATCTACCCGTAATTCGTGAGTGGGTGCTGCAGTGACCGCAGATGGCACCACCAATCAAACCATAGTAAATTAAGTAGTCACCGGCAATGTTTCTGAACCATATCAGTCCCTTCATCAGGCAAACAAAGTTCACTTTGTTTGTTTGCCTGATAAAGGGACTGATATGGTTCCGAAACATTGCCTTGCATTGGGAAATGACCTTTTAACATCAATAAAGAAGGCTTGACAGAGCATGTGTTGGAGTGCTGGTGACTAGTTCATGTACTACAGAGTAGTGAGGGGGGTCACAAAGAGGCCTGTGACAACTCTAAAGGAGTAACAAGCCTCAGTGGATGACATTCGATAGACTATGCATGCAACAACTGCTGCCCGGGTGCTTCACTAGTTGCAGCTTTATGCCAGTCATAACAGGAAAGATGCTGTTAACTAAAACCTACATGACATCTCATCTGTCATTTGATAAAAGGTACATGGGAGATGCTAACTTCATCTAGAAGAAGGCTATATGGACAGATTAGACTAAAATGTAATTTCTTTGATCATCAGACTAAATCTCACAATTGGCATAAGCCAAACACAGCACATCACCACGAGCACAACATCTCTACTGTGAAACATGGCGGCGGCAGAATCGTGCTTTGGGTCGAGGTAAGGGTTGTGTAAGGGTCGAGGGTAGAATGAATATGGCATAATTCAGAGAATCATGGAGGAAAACCTGATGTAGTCTGCAAGAAACCGGAGCCTGGTGAGATTTGACTTTCAGGCAGAAAATGACCCCAAGCAAAAAGTCAAACCTACAAAAAGAATGGCTTTAAAAAAGGAATGTCAATGTCTTTGAATAAATACAGCTGGCCATACAGTAAATGATTTTTTTTCATCTGTGTCAAAAAAAAAAAATTTAAATTCACTGAGATTCAATGTTCTACAACGACCGAGTATGAAAACTTCCAGGGGGGCAAAACTTTTTATAGAATTTGTACATTCATATAGAAAATAATTATATACTGTATACTCTCTCACCTTGCTGATTTTGTCATGCATAGTCTGTACATTTTCATGGACAACAGACAAGATATTTTCCAGCAGGACAGAGTCACTTATCAGGTCCAGCTTCAAGTCATCAGACTGGTCGCGAGGACAAAGGGAGAACTTAGAGCAGATTACAGATGGATTCTGGAAAACAAAAATAATTCCCATTTCATAATCAATTGACAGTGGCCAGAGCACCGTTAGCGTGCACCACCATCGCCCCATCAAGCCTAAGCAAACATCCCCAGCAGTACCCAACCACAATACCCCCCAGTAAGTGACCACCCTCCTGACCCAAGGTGGAGCTTATGAGAGAAATCTATGCATGTATGGTAAATTTAGAATATAAACTGAGCACTGCAGGATGCCATAATCTCAAGATATAGATGCTTATTGATCTTTCAAAGCTGCATTGTGTTTGACACTTACACAGACTGTGAGCAGTAGTGAGGTGGTTGGAGGACAACTGCATCCAAAACAAATTCTTTGTTTTGAGTGGAATGAGTGGGATTCAATCCCCAGAAGGTCTTCCCTGCTATACATCTGCACTGCTATGCTTCCAATGACATCAGCTGAAGTCAACTTTATTATTCCAGACCTCTATGACTTCTAAGTTCTAACAATTTGAAAGTGGAATGGGGAAAGTTTTGTACCTGTTGTCCGGAGCATCAATTTCAGTTGATGTCACTGGAAGTGCAACCAGGCGATTTGTTTGTTCTTGTGGACAAGCTCCGTTGGCTGACACCCACACTCACAGACGCAGGTGGATATAGGACTTAGGAGCTTCCGTTTCTCATGTTCTGTGAGGTCTTCACTGTAGTGTCCAAAAACCCACCTGGGAGATCTTCTCCTTCTCTTGAAGCTACCTTTCAGTTTTCTATGTATATTCCAGGAGACACAAGAGATCACACAACCTACCCAGTGTTTCTGTGTCTATTTATTTTATAATATGAATATTCAGATAGAGGGTTATTAGTCTGTCATGTTGGGTGTGGAAGAATTCTGAAGCTAGCTCTACATATCACTAAAAGTCATTCAGTCTGTGACTATGCTAAAAATTGCTGGACTCACTACTGCATTGTCCTTTCATTGACTCCAATAAACCTTTTCCTAGTAGCAAAGGCACTAAGGAGTGATTAAGATCACTGCCACAAAAATGCAACATGGTACTAAATAATTGTTTTTTCTAGTACAGATACAGCTATACGTAGTGTGCCACATTCATCTGGACTTGTTCTGTAATGTTGAAGGCGTTGTGTAGCTTCTCCAAGCTTCTTCTTTAGTTCCATTGTGTCTCAGGAAGATATCCCACATCATATGTGGGAGACTCACAAGATGCGGGAAAGAGGCCATCTACATCAAACTGGAACAACCATCCCAGGGGTGGGGGCCTTCAACACAATCTGTCTTCCACATATAATGCTGTTTTAATGTCTCTACCCCAGAGATTTGACAAGTCATGTATATAAGGGAATTATGTGCACTCCTTGACACCAAGGATGGAATTATGTAACTAGAACAGGGTGGTTCCACAAGTTGCACACCCATCCTGTTTTAGGACAACCAACACCTTAAGGTTCCATGGTGGTTAGATCAACCACTTACCGGCCAGCCATTGTATTTAAACGGCCATCAAGTGGTTAAGGTGTCTACACTAATTTGGTGGATATAAATCCTGGGGTATCTTCATGACACTCATCAGAACTAAAGAAGTGACTTGGAGAAGCTATGAGATGTTCTCAAATTTGCAGAACGAGGCCAGTTGAATGTAACCAACTACTACTAGCTATACCATGACCTGGATATATGGGAGCCTTCATAGAGAGTACAGAGACATTTTCTCATTGTACCATGCATTGATGGGCAGTATCAGAAAAAATATGAAAATATCACACTTTGTTGACTGAACCTTAATAAATATATTAAAAGAGAAGCGTCACATCTTATTTTGGTTTCCCAATAACAAAAAAAGAAATGTAACAAACATCTCTATTTTACAGACCTAATCTGGAAGTCTGGGGATACAAAATCTTTATGTACCAAGGTTTTGCTCCCCATGACCACAATGATGGGCTGTCACAGTAAGCGTATGATTACATAGTAGCAGTCAGTCACAGTTGACCGGACTTGTCCTGTAATGTCGAAGACATTTCACTGCTTACCCAAGTGGCTTCCTCGGATACCTAATATCAGGAGCATACCCCTGCATTTATGGCCACACAGGTAACTCAATCACCCTAGAGTAGAGTTAAACCCTAACTGGATGACATTTAGTTTGCTAAATCACCACGTGTTATAAACAAAAAACACTGATTTTACCTTGTTTCAGCCTTTTTTGAATCTCATTACTGCCAAACTAACCCAGCTTCTTTTAGCCACTTCCTGTCTACATACACTTGACTTGCTTCAGCCTTCGCTGCTTAACATTGCTCTCAACCGATTACCTGATAGTGACAACGGTGGACCATGCCTTCTCAATGTGCGTTGGCAAGACCGCTTGTAGACTCTTCACCATTGGAGTATGAGACAGGGTGACAACTCAGAAACACAACTGGGAAACAGTGGTTACTAGGGGTGTCCCTAGCTTTTTTTTTACCACCTGAGGCCACGGGGGTGGGGGGTGCTGCTGGTGGTACATGCAATCAGAGCAGCGGGACATGAGCGGGAGTGAAGCCACTCTCTGCAGGCTCTGCATCTCCCCACCCAGCTCTTAGCAATCTGGAATGCTCTGGCTAGTGTCCCACCCAGCTCCTGACAATCAGTGACTTACCTGGTTGCCACAAGCTGGGTGGGACTCTGACCAGGGCATCCCAGGTTGCTAACAGCTGGGTGGGGAGATGTGTATGGCCCTCCTGGCACTTAGCAACCTGGGATGCTCTGGCTAGTGTCCCACCCAGCTCCTGACAATCAGTGACTTACCTGGTTGCCACAAGCTGGGTGGGACTCTGACCAGGGCATCCCAAGTTGCTAACAGCCGGGTCGGGAGATGTGTATGGCCCTCCTGGCTCTTAGCAACCTGGGATGCTCTGGCCGGAAAGTGGCCTGCAAGCACACTGCAAACATTGTGCAGCAAAGCGGCCATGCTGCTCTGCTTGGCACCCTCCATGTGACCTAAAGAGATGTTGCCTGAGGGAGGAACGGCCATGGTTGTTACCCTAATGTATTACAGGAAGTGCTTGAACAAAGACCTTCATGGCTTGTTTATTAGGAATTATTTAATAAAATCTGCATATTAAAAAAGATAGAAAACAACCTTTGAACTTACGTTATTGTGTTAAAACTTATATGAGATTTCAGTGATTGGGTTTAGATTAACTTAAGTCCAATCATCATGGAATGTGTCAAGACAGCTGTTGTTTATCCAAGAACCTGTCCAAATGTGTTACCAGGTATACCATGCCCTGGATAAACAAAAACTGTCACAGACATAAACAGACAGGAATAGACAGGATCTACTCTGCTTAGCTGCTGGTCACTTACTCTGGGGTCAATGTTGTCTAATGCCACCAGGATCTTGAGGAGCATTGATACAAATAGCATAGATATGCATCCTGCCAGAGACATGGACATAGATCTTCATAATGTTCTAATCATGCTGTGCTTAAAGTTGGTTAAAGTAGGTAAATTAGGTAATGTTTTTGACTCTTTTGGCTTGGACGTAACCCCGCACACCCACTGAAATTTAGGGACTACTTGGTGTTCCTCTTTGTAGGAAAACCATTGTATGAGGATTGCCATGGCTGACTTTTCCTAAAAAAATCTAGGTCTTGCCAGCACAGGTGTAGGACCCTTGGGAGTGGGACCCTTGCTCTCTGTGGGTATGCAGTGATCTCTCCACATAGATCCAGCATGCCCCCTGCTGGAGTCAGAGTTTGCCTTGGGCAAATGCTCTCTTTCTCTACCCAAATGACAACCCTTCTAGATTTCACACCCATTATACCACACACATACAATAAAAGTAAGATCTTGGCAGTGAGTATTTACCAGCCATTTTTCCATGGTGTCAATCAGGGCACTTTCATATTGATCCACCAGCTGTTTGCACTGGCCCAGGAATAAATCCAGAGGGTAGTGATTGCACTGTTTGTGCAAATATTCCTTGATAGAGGTCTAAAAAGATAAAAGAGATAAATGTCATCTGTCCAGATTGCCCGGCATTTGTCCTTCATCTATAATATTTATATTACCAGGTTACAAAAGCTTACTTAAAGCCCAACTGAACCCTCATTTTCAATCAGCTTAGTAGATTGCAGATGCATCAACAGAACAAAAGCAGCCACAACCGATGTAGAAAAGCCTGTGCCCTGCTAGCAGCTGCAGAGAAGGACCTTTGCTCTCTGTGTAGAAGCAGTGGTCTCTCGCCGTGGTCCAATGACCCCCTACTGAGTCAGACCTACAGGTGAAACTCGAATAATTAGAATATCGTGCAAAAGTAATTGCATTAAGTGCTGCAAAAGGGGCCCAAACCAAGTACTGAGTACATATGCATGCTTGTACTTTTCAGAGGTCCGGTATTGTTCTATGTACAATCCTTGTTTTATTGATTGCATGTAATAATCTACTTTTTTGAGGTTGTGGATTTGGGGTTCTTGGGGTTTTCATGAGCTGTAAGCCATAATCATCACAATTATGACAAATCACGGCTTGAATTATCTTGCTTTGCATGTAATGAGTCTATCTCATATATTAGTTTCACCTTTGAAGTTGCATTAGTGAAATAAATGAACTTTGCACGATATTCTTATTATTTGAGTTTCACCTGTATATCTCTGCATTCAGAAAAAAACGCATGCATCCCAGGTATAGAAGAACTCTGGCACTGACCCATTAGGGGGCGTTTCGGACCTCTGCAGAGAGACCACAGGTCGTTCTCTGCAACAAGCTGGCAGGACACAGGCTTTTTTACTCTACAAACTATAAGACTTTGCACACCTTTTGTGTTGACGCACCTGGAATGTATTTAGCTTAGTGAACTACTAAGTGACAGGTTTACATAGAGGGTTAGCAAGAAATGTTTGTGCTCCCTGGGAACCAATACGAAATTTTTTTGTAGTTTCATATTGAAATTGAAGTGAAGACTAAAAATGAATATATTAAACAAAATACAAAGAAATAAAAATTAAAAATCACTACAATCAGCTGCCAAAAACACAGTGCATATATAAAAATTGCTGAACAAAATGAACTTAACATTTATCTAAATCCAAGAACAGAAATATAATATATAGCAGTTTACCAGTTCTTGGATGTTGGGGCTGAATTAGTTTTGTTTTTTCAGGCTAAGTTGCTGCAGTATGTAAAAAAATACCTGTTAATGCTGCCAGCAATCCAGCGCTCTTGTAATAACCTGAGCAATTATCTGAAATCTCAAGCAATCTGCTTTCTCAGCTATCGTCTGTGAACTACAGATCACCTCCTCAGTTATGATGATACGGAGAGGGAGGAGAGTTTGTGGTCCAAATCAGGGGGGCAGCGTAGAGTGATGAATGTTGCTCCTCTATACATACAGTATGGTGAGTGAGTCTTGTGTCCTGGGACAGGAAGTGTGCTACTGGCAGCAGGGTCATCCCTATAATGAGGCAGCCTGAAGCTCTTGCCTCAGGCGGTTCTCTTTGTATCAGGACCATACACATCTCCTTTTCAAGTTCTTAGCAACCTGGGATGCTCTGGCTGGCGTCCAGCCCAGCTCCTGGCAACCAGTGACATCAGTGAACTTGGCGTGACCAAATGTGACCACTAGGACCAACCCGCACCACTCCGTGACCACTACGGGGATTATGCTAGGGTACCCCTGACAGGCAGGATAAGTAGGTGAAAATAAAGGAAAAAAGAAAACTATTGCAGGCACCATATCTAAGGGTTGGTAAGCTGCAATATTTCATTTTGTTGGGTTTTGATACAATGGAGACAGTAATATACATATCCCAGATTATGTTTTGTAAGTACATTACCTGGAGAGGAGATGACTTCACCATGCTGATGAATAATGAGACCATCTGCTTACACTGGATGCATAACGGGTCCTGTTCATGAGAGAGACACGGGGATTATTTAACAGCAAAGTATTATCTCCTTACATTAGACATCATTCTAAACAAAAACCATGAACCTGAATTAGAAAGTACAGAAAGGGCACCGCTCAACATTGCTTCGGGATTTCTGCTTCCCATCCATTAGACCCGAATGATATGTATTTTCCCTATAGGCAATGATCAGTGGGGGACGCTTAGTTCCATCAACAGTAGAGAATTATAGGACATTACATACAAATGTCTAACCTTACTATTCAATATTTATTGGGTTGGGATCTGACCTGTTGTAGTTGATTCTCTCTATATACTGTCATTGTATATCTAGAATAAACTGGAAAAGGAAAGAGCAATTAAAGGGCTGAAATATTGCCTTTCCTAGAGAGGATCCGGTCCAGGCTACATCTCTTGTTCCTCACATAGCCTAATGCCCAGGCCTTTGGTCAAGGATCTCTGAAACCGGGGCCATGCTTCCAAAGACCTAGGCCTTTGGTCAAGGAGCTCTGACCTAGGCTTTTGGTCACATCACCTGTGCTGGAGGGAGCCTGGAATGACATTTATGGATGTAAAGCTAAAAAACTATTTTTTCCTTTTGGAGGGTCTGCTGTGAAAGTAGGAGGCTCCTAATGTTATGGGAGCTCTGGTGTGAAAGTAAGGGGCTCCTGATATGAAATGAGGGGGCTCCTGATGTGAAATGCAGGAGCTTCCTAATGTTATGGGGGACTCTGATGTTAAATGAGGGTGCTCCTGATGTGAAATGAGGGGACTACTGATGTTATAGGGGGCACTGATGCGAAAGTAGGGGACTCCTAATGTAAAGAGGGGGCTTCTGATGTTATGGGGGGCTCTGTAAATGGATCTGTGAATGAATGCCGTCTCTGTGCTGGTGAAGCCATGCCAAATTCAAATGACTACAGAATCCTGAAAGTAGAAGAACCCTGCGATTCAGATAAGTGGGGGGATGGGAGAGGTTTGAGGGTCGGGGGCTGGTAATTGTGACCATGCTTCACGGTATGCCCTAACTATGGCTGTATCATGAAGCATGATAGAAAAGGTTAAATATTCTTTTAATACTACTCTAAGCTTGTCATTATCCAGACCTCATTATCCCTTCAGATCTTACCAGTCCTTCCTTCCACACATTCTGCTTGCAATGGTCCACTGCTCCACACTGAAGGGCACTTGCTAGATCCTGGCACCAGAACTCTGGACCCTGGGCACATCCATCTTTCAGAAGAACCTTCCCAGACACAACTGCAGAATGAAGACATAATATATCAGAATCCCAGAGCAGGCTGAGGTTATGGCACCTCCAAAGGATGACAATCAATAGTAGGGGATCTCATCACTTTCCAGAAGTTGCATCTTCATAAGTTGGCTTAAAGGTCTGTTTTTAAAAGATAATTTCCTCTGTTATGTATGAATGTCTTATCTTGTTTTGTTCTTCAATCTTTATTTTAATTATTGATTTTATGTTTATTTGATGCATTTTTCAACATTTATTAAACTGAAGGCTCCAGAATAACTTTTTTGCATTTTGTATACATATACAACCATTGACGTAATCAAACAGTGGGCCCCATGGTACAAAGCTTATGCATTAATGAAAAAATGTATGGACAAGTCCCATCTTGTATTATACAGAGTATTTCCATTAGTAGTTATGTATAGGTGCATGTGAGAGCCTATTAGACATGCCATAGATTAAGGCCACGTTCACAATGGTGTCTCATCACATTGAGTTTCATAATATAAATCAGATGAAATACACTGCCTGGCCAAAAAAAAGTCACCACCTGGATTTAGTTAAGCAAATAGGTAAGAGCCTTGCATTGGATAATAGGTGTGATCTGGAGTTGCTTCAGTTGGTCAGCTCTAGGTTCAGCAATGTTATGTTCAGAAACAATGAGGTCAGCTGACGTCCTGAATATACAGAATGATCAGGTTTTTCCATCAATAGATTATTTCCTCCCTGATGGCACATTGGACATATTCCAAGATGACAATGGCAGGATTCACCGGGCTCAGATTGTGAAAGAGTGGTTCAGGGAGCATGAGACATCATTGTCACACATGGATTGGCCACCACAGAGTCCAGACCATAACCCCACTAAAGATCTTTGGGATGTGCTGGAGAAGACTTTACACAGGGGTCCGACTCTCCCATCATCACTACAAGATCTTGGTGAAAAATGAATGCATCTTTGAAAGGAAATGCATGTTGTAACATTGTATAAGCTTATCGAAATGATGGCATGGAGAATGCGTTCCATAATCAAAGCTAAAGGCGGTCCAACAAAATATTAGAGTGTGTGACTTTTTTTTGACAGGCAGTGTATTTCCATTAGAAGTTACATATAGTTCCATGTGAAAACCTATTAGACATGCCAGAGATTAAAGTCCCATTCACTATGGTGCCTGATCGCATTGGGTTTGATCATGTAAATCAGTGCCAAATATATACCCTGTGTTTTCTGCAATGACCTATCAAAGAAGATACTTAGGGGGGAAATAGCCCTCTGTGGATAAAATTTCATTGTAACAGATGGCCATGCATCAATGTGAGTAGTGCTGCTATGGGTGAGTTTAGCCAACCTGACTAGTGTTGGGCTCGATGCTCTGCAAACAACTTTGCTCAATCAGGGCACAGAGAACTGTGACTTTGCTTGGCTTTTAAAAGCCAAGCAAATGCAAGCAACAGGGCAAGAAATGGGAGAGGAGGCCTTGGAATTCCTTTAAATTTAAAGCGGCCTGTGTACAGCTTCACTTTAAATTACAGTATACTGTATGTAAACCCTAACAGTGAACTTGTATTTGCTTCCTTTTGGTCTGTTGAATATACCATTGAAAGCGTTTTATTATATCTATTGGATAAGGGCGAAAAAAACTCTCTGATGATCCTGCTAGAAGTCCAGTGCTGCGGTGTGCACTGTGCAGTCTTATCTCAAATCTTATCAGGAAGTTTGTTGGGACTACAGAACACCTGCCCCCATGTTATAGAGACTAAAAGGGGAGAGGTAATCTGTAGTCCCAACACACTTCCTGTCCTACTATTCTTCCGTCCAGTATGACAATGCTGCTCCTCTGTACAGCAATTGAGCTTAGTCTTTTTAGGAGAGGAAGTGTGTTACTGGTCAGATCACCAGATGAAAATTATAGTAAGAAAGACTGAAATAATAAAACTAATGCAGCTCCTCATCTAAGGCCTGGGGAGCTGCAATACAATACATTATATTTTTGTTCTTGGGTTTGATACAATCTAATCAATAAAGTGATTTCCAAAATCACATTCTGTTCTATGCTACTATCAGTCTTCAGCTAATAGGAAAAACCTTCAGTGTCACACTGTTGCCTATTCTACCTCATCCCGCCGGGTGAACGTCCCCTCCTCTCTCTGCCGCTGTCCATCTCCAAGATGGCCGCCACAGGCGTCAATCAGATGGTCGTGCATGCGTGATGACGTCATCTTGTTTCTGAACCATCTGTGACATTACAAGAATCGGACCCAATTTATTTTATTAGGGTAGATGTAATACATGCAGCCCTAACACCGAATTCTGGCTTGTCCCTGCAATACATCCCCTTTTTAATACAGGACAAGACTCCCCAATTACAATATCCTCAATTAACTCTGCATTATTGAATATTGCACAGTGACAACGCACCCCTGGCACACTGTCATTGTGCAGGGAACGATACAGCAAGCTATAGCAGCATCGCTTCTTCTTCTTTCTCTCACATGATCAGGTAGAAGTACAGGCAGCAGAGCAGTACAGAGCTGCCTCTTCCTTCCTGGTGAGGGCCCGTCTGGAAATCCATGACAGGGAACCTGTTGGCCGCTTGGTCCCCTCTGCTCACCTAGGCGGAGGGTGAGAGGAGGCAGCTTCTCCTGGCATAGCCCTTCTCTGTGAAGCTTCTGTACCCAACTTTTATCAGAGGGGGTCAGCGCGATGCGCAGATCTGTGCCTGTTTAGATCTGCGGCTAATATATGCGTTACATTAAAGCACAGATATTAGTTTGCACATAGTAACATTTCTGCAACAAATCTCAATTGACAGTTTTGCAGATGGTGCCCAGGTCAGAAATCCTCTTCAACATAGACACTATGGTCTCGTTCACACCTAGGCGTATTGCATATGCGCGTCTGTCGTTTCCGAAGGCTACTTGGCTGTATCCCAATGGAAACGCGCAACAAAACGGCCCAAAGTAGTACATGTACCTTTTCAGGCGTGGCCCGTTTTGTAGCGAGTTAGGCTTCGTTCACACCTGAACGTTTTGTAGCACGTTCTACGCTCGACGAACGCTCTACAAAACGCTCAAAAATATAAATCCCATTGTATTCAATGGTCTCGTTCCCACCTTAGCGTATTTCCGCCCGTCCCTAACGCGCTACAAAACGGCCCATACCTGAAAAGGTACATGTACTACTTTGCGTTTTTTTGCGCGTTTCCATTGGGATACAGCCAAGTAGCCTTCGGAAACGCGCATTTGTCGCGCGACTTTTTTTACAGCGAATCGCGGTAAAAAATGCGCGACAGACGCGCATATGCAATACGCCTAGGTGTGAATGAGACCATAGGGACGGGCGGAAATACGCTAAGGTGGGAACGAGACCATTGAATAAAATGGGATTTATATTTTTGAGCGTTTTGTAGAGCGTTTTGTAGAGCGTTTGTCGAGCGTAGAACGGGCTACAAAACGTTCAGGTGTGAACGAAGCCTATGAGGGGGGGAATTTACCAAAATGGAGCAGCTGTGCATGGCAACCAATCAGCTTCTCTCTTTATTTTTAAATCTTAACTGACCAAACTGAAGAGAGAAGCTGATTGGTTGCCATGTGTAGATTCCCCTCTTTGTGTATTTGCATGTCAAGTGTGCATCAAATAAAAATGTCCGCTCAGGAATAGTTTATGAATGTTTATGCCCAAGGGAGATGATGATTATTGCTCAAATACATATATATATATATATAATGGAAAATTGTATACTCACCTTTCCGTATTTTTCCTTTCCTAGGGCATCCAAAGGCAGCACACGATAGCTTAACCCATGATGCCCCAGGAAATATATTTATATATATCTGTCACCAACAGAGAGCACTAGTCCAGCAGTACAAAAATACTTTGATCTCACTTGCATGTAAGTGAATTTTTTTTTGCTTTAAACATCCAATCATATATATATGAAGTGACATTTCCTTTTAATTCCCCTGCACACAATACACATATGTAATGAATACAGGTTAATAAGTGAATAATGTTTTCATTTTGTGTTTCTGTGCATGGCTGCTTCCTATATTCTATTGATATCAGTAATCGTGTTATTACCAGCCTGAACCTAGCAGAGTTTAAAGGAACACGGACACATTTGATCATTTTTCAGAATTGACTTGTACAGTCAATATATCTCTCAATCAATACAATAACACGTGCAGTGATTTTTAACAATCCATGCAATGCTGACTTTACTGAACTGAAAAATAAATTTCCCCTGGTAAAAATATGACACGTGTTGATGAAATCACTGCATTGGGTTACGCCTGTGTAAATTCAGGTGGACGAGTTCTGGTCAAGAAAACTAAGATCTGAATACAAGGAAAACCCTCTTATCGGAATGCTGCTAAATCTCTGTGACCAGGGAAGGATTTTTTCTCTTTCACTGTCTGGGGAAAAAGGTGCAAAAATCATGCATGAAAAACACACATTAGGAGGGTCTCTGCTGGGAGAATCGGTGATGGAAAAGGATGTGCGGGGGGCGGGGGGGGGGTTCTTTTAGATCACAGACCCAGCAATAGAATGGCATGCCAGAAAAGCAAGTAGAATACTCTAATGCATTATAAAGGGAATATATTCAAGGGATATATCAAAAAGTGTTAACCACTACTAAGCCAGCACAGTCCCCGACTCGATTTCCGGTCAGGACACTATCTGCATGGAATATGCATATTCTCCCTGTGCTTGCGTGGGCTTCCTCCAGTTACTCCAGTTTCCTCTCACCCTCCAAACACATGCTGGTAGCTTCATTGGCCCTTGTCTAAACTGGTCCTGTATTCATGTGCAATAGGGAGCCTAGATTGTAAGCTCCTTGAGGGCAGGGACTGATGGAAATGTAAAGTGCTGTGTAAATTGTCGGTGCAATATAAATACCTGTAATAAATAAATAAAATCTGTAACCATCAGAAGGGAGCTTTTTGCGCTGTGAACATTTGGGGATGGGTGGACTCCCCCCTATTACTGAATTTAATGCGAGATCTGTTAGTGCAGGGGTGGACAAATTAATATGGAAATCAGGAGTCAGTCTGTCCAATCCAACACAGGAGCCAGCAGGACTTTAGGAGCCAGCTCCATTGACAACAACGACAGAAAGCCTCAAAAGTTAGGTGTCAACTGTCATTTATGAAGAGAATTGGCGACCTTGCTCCTGGGATTTGTCCAGTCCTGTATTCGCGTATGCCCGGCATATTCCTACGATACCCAACACATCACAGCACATGATGAGTAGAGGTTACTCACCTGCGATGACAGTCAGGAGACAGAACAGGCTCACTCGTGTCCTTTCCATGGTGAGATAGAATGGGCAGTGCCCTGTCAGTGGCGACCCTATATACCCAGCCTGGAGGAGCCAGAGATGCAAATCACACTCCCAGAACACTCTGACACTCCCAGTGCTCCCAGTGCCTCTCCTGGAGTTACCTGTCAGCCTCTCTTTGCTGCGTCACTATACACAGTGCAATAAGCTGCTATCAGTAAAGCCGGCCATGCATAGTAGAATGTTCTCCAAACAAATTTGCTTTCGGAACGTTCTTTCGATTTTCTAATGACGATCGATTTCGACCCTGGTGACAAAAAAGAAAGGATCGAAGGTGCGGCATGGAATTTTTTTCTGGAACAAACACCATTCTAACAATGAATGTGGGTTTTCTTTCAGGAAACTCCGTTCATTCCAAAATCAAATGTTAAAATCAAACATAATGTGGAACGACATTCTACAAGTCTGTGATGGCATTATCGAATGTTCTGATGAGATGAATGAACATTTGTACCAGAATCTATCAATGTATGGCCAGCTTTACTATCTGATGCCTTTTTGAAGGGCAATAAACTTATATTTCGTCTAGTTTTTATTAGTTGATTATTATTCTAATAACAATAGCTGTGATATTTGGCAGTAAGTGCAATCACAAATCAGGTGATGGCAGAAACATGAATACTGACATTCAGGTCTGACCCTACAATCTACACTCCCTGAGGTTTGTATGGGCTAGTTGGGGATACATGTTGCCAGGGGTGCATGATACTGGTGGTAACCTGACCAGTGACGTCACAAGGGGGGTGCGGCCCGCACTCGTGTGACACCGTTGGCGGGGTGACACCAAAATGACTGGCAGTCATTTTGGTGTCACCCCCCTCTGAAAAGTCGGGTACTCAGTCAAGAACCGAGAGCACGACATTTGCTCGAGAGAGAGAGGAGGGAACCCGGCGGCATACCTTATCCCACTGGGTGACGTCCCCTCCTCTCTCTGCCGGCGTCCATCACTGAGATGGCCGCCGACAGGTAACAGCCGTACCGCGCATGACGTCACCCCGCCTTGGGACGCCTCTGATCCTGACCAGCTCATGGCAACCAGTGACATCTGTGAGCTGGGCGGAACACCAGCTAGAGCTTCCCACTCAGCTCCTGGCAACCAGGGACGTTAGTTAGTTGGGTGGGATGCCGGACAGAGCAAGACCTCTTAGCAACCTGGGACGCTCTGGCCGGAAAGGGGGCTCTGCCTGTGACAACCCCCCCACCGGACCCAAAGAGATGCCGCCTGAGGCGACCACCTTAGCTTGACTCATTATAGGGTCAGCACCCGCTACCATTGCTGCCTTCTCCTGAAAATTCTAGGTGCTTGGCTGTCATGCTTATCCGCAGACCTACAACAAGTATCCCTGTGTGTTGTAAAGTAGCCACCGCTCCAAACTCACTGCCATTATGCACTACAATCTCAACACAACTTAGTAAACTAAACATGAGGCTGTAGTCCATCACGGGAGTGAGTTTGGAGCGGTGACAACTTTACAACACACACAGGGACCATGGGGAATAAACGTAGCCCCCCTCCAGAAGGAAGGACAGTGTCAGCACCAATTCAGAGATGATTTGAGGATCTACAGCCGAGTGATACACAAATAAGATACATTTTTGTTAAGGTACTTGAATGCATTTTTAAGAAAACTTTAAGAATATATAAATACTTTAATGATATTTGTGTCTCTCAGGACAAATGAAGAAGAGCCTCAAAATGGATTTAAATGGAGAACTATGACATGAGTGATTTCCACTCACCTCATAGTTCTAAGCCGACCTGTGACAATGAGACTGTCACAGGTCGGCTCAGTAGATCGGGAGGTGAGCGAACACATACCGGGTTCCCTCACCTCTCGATCCTGTCACGGCTCTCTGCCGTGACAGGGGGAGGGGCTGGATTCCCCTCTCCCCGCTCCGATCTGCCAGCGCTGACTGGCGGAACGGATGGGGGAGGGGGCGGGTACAGCTGGCTCTGCCTCTAGATAGGCAGAGCCAGCTGTCACTCATGCAGCTGGGCGGATCCCATCATCTACGTCGGGATCCGCTCCAGGTGCGGCGTCTCAGTATACCGCGAGCTGTAGCTCGCGGTATACTGAGCTTAGGGTGACGGGAGGACGCTAGTTTGTGTCCTCCCGTTACCCCAAGGAGAACTATGGGGAAAAACACTGACCCCATAGTTCCCCTTTAATGCCTAATTTTGAATTACCCTCGGCCAGTGCAAAAAGTTTCCTTTGGGCTAAATTAACAGAAAACAGTCAATCAATTGTTGTGTTTGTCCTTAAAGATCA